GGCCCGGCCCGACAAGCCCCTTTTTATGGACATAATAACTCCATTATGATATGCATTTTAGGCTTATTTGCTCAGCATTAAACTTAAATAGGTTTAATAATTTGTAATTGTTAAAAGAGTTCAATCATCATAATTATTCGTCACTTAAACTTTTATCTCTTTAACCCTCTGTTTGAACTTTACTCAATGTGCATAGGCCCTAGGCCTATCGATCCACATGCTTTCAGTGGTACTCCTATTCTCACATTTTCAAATCCAAGAAGATTATGTTTCGTTACCTCACTCCCCAAATCCAAAACCAATATTATTTAAAATTACCGCATTTTTGTTTCAATTCCCCTATATATGGATATAATTTGCACCATTTATTAGAAAATCGTGTGCAAAATTAATGACTAATATGGTGCCGTGTGCAATAGTGGCCACCGCCTTTAGTCCACATCACACAATTGTTCACCAAGTTTGTCGGTGTAAAAGTTAAGTCGAATTTGTCAGTGAATTATATTTATATTATTTGAAAATTGAATCTTCAATATGCCTAAATGTCCTAAATGCGATAAAGAGGTGTACTTTGGTGAGTATAATTTTTGTATCTAACAGGTGTCCTGTAGCCCAGCCTTTATATATAGGTCTATCACTATATTTCTTGTACTGCTTACAGTTTATAAAACGCTATATGGATATATAAATTCTAGATGTTTCATTCAAACTGTTGAACGCAGTTTATGATTGTCAAATGACTATTCCAACAATTGGTCTATAATATCGACCGAATCATTATATCGATCATTTATGGAACATGATATTATTTAAATTAGGTATTATGATATAATGAGAAATAGAGAGTTCAACGAGTAAGCAATAATTATTGTGCTTGGCGCAATATTTTAAGCGAAACAGGCTATGGTAACTATAATTTAGATGTAGCTAACATAATATAGGCCAACACATGTCTAAAGAAAACAACCAACGGAAAACGGGAGGATCAGTTAAATCGGACACAAGGCCATTACCAGTTTTATTTCAAAGATATTTTGAAATCCTGTCACAATGCTGGTAATTAGTGCTGGCACGATATATGGGTGAATCGATGTATCGCGACGTCGTGTATCGATACTTGGCGATAGGACCTTTATTCAATAAAAAGTTTGTTTTATGATCTAACATTTGTTTTCGCTGCAATTGTTAGAAACTTTTTATAAGGCAGTGGACGCTAACCACTTCTCTCCACTATATTACCAAATATCACAGTTACAAAGTTACGAATTAATATATATAGAACCTAGAAAAGTTTTATCTCATTACCCCATATCGCAATATGTATCGTACCCTTGTATCGCGATACGTATCGTATCGTGGCATGATTGACGATACCCATCACTAGTAATTATTGTAAATACGATATATGAGATTTTGGCGTAGGCTTAACTATATTTCCCGCCATTTATGTGTTTAAGAGTATCATTTGCTGTTTACATACCAACAACAAATAGTTCCGCCTACTCGATAAATTATAACTCGCATTTAAAACTATAAAAAGTTTGTCTAGCCGTTATGTCATAATCAATCTTGTATTTACAAGTTTCTATATAAAAAATGCATTGCTGACATACTTTTTTTCTTAATGTTGATAGCACCAATTAATTAACATGAAATTCAGCGAGTAAAGAAGTTTCTTTTTAATCATTTTGATGATCTAAATAATCATTAGCTAATGCTTGCATAAATTTCATAAAAAAAAATTCTGAAAAGGTAGCCCGTTAACCTTACCAATGTGCTATTCTCGTTTCAAAATTATGTATGAAGCAAAAGAATATGTTGATTATTCAGAGCATAATAACATTTAATACATTAATACATGTATTAATACTATCAATATATAGGCATAGACAGAAATGCGTCAGTATATGGCATGCAGTTTTAATTGTGCAGTATGTGCAATTATTGAAATCAAGTTGAAAGCAGCAATAGAACAGTAGTTATATAGCTTATAGTGGTTTTGAAAACACTGTCATTATGTTTTATCCTGTCTAGAACAGGCTATATCAACAACAAATCTGTTGTCTTAATGTTAATCTTTTCTTTCCATACGAGTGTAAGGATAGGACACAAAGTTAACTTCCTTACAGTAGTCTACTTTTCAATTCACATTGTTAGTTCAATATAATTTAGGTATGTGCAAGAATCTTTTTACAACTTTCCTTTACTAGACTGCTTATTATTCATTGAATAGCGAAGTAAAACACTGTATTGAAACATTTTAGAATAACATTAATATGTAGCCCTTGCTATTACCAGATTTACCAGAATAGTTAATTTATTTACTTGAATAGGAAATTTAATAGATGTTTAGTGAAGCGTAACGAAATAAACATTTGTCACATTTCTATTGACCTATATTTAATTTGTTTTCATTCTAGCGTCATTTAAAAATTGTATTCCATGATCTATGGGAGTGTCCAGCATTATAGAATTTGTCAACTGTTTTTAATGTGAACGCCCTGCATTAAAATGTTTAAATATGCCTACGTATTTTTAGAAATAAACACCAATAAAAATATTCTTGACATCAGTATTCTTATAGTGAAAAGTCAATAAACTTCTGTTTGCCTTCCTACAAATTAAAAAGGCTAAAGCATGACGCCAGTTTGATAGAATTCTTTTAATAACACAATTTCCTGGTCACTGGGCGTGCACAATTTTATGGGTCAGATTATTTGAACTGAGTGTCAACCACTTTTTGCTTTTACCACAAGACATATTCATGGCATTCTAAATACACCACACAATGTTATATCATTTTAGTATTTTATCTTTAAAATGTTTAATTGGCAACTCCTTTAACTATTTTATTTTCTCCTTCGTAGAGTGAGTTTAAGTATAAATGAAGATATTTCGATTTTGCTTCGTACAATGAGTTTAAGTGTAAATTAGTTTAGGTCAGCACTGGTCAGATTAACCCTTTCAATACCTGTGATTGGTTTTCATCTTGTTTTCATTATATCTGTTCGTTAATAGTGAGTTCATTATTTTACTGATTACAGACGCATATAGCCTTAATTTTGCCCTCCCTCCCTGAATTTAAATTCTTTGTTTTTGAATTAGATTAAGTTCTTTTGTGATATTTGTTCATTTTGTTCTTTGGCGGATTAGATTAAGTTCCTTTTGTAATGTTTGTTCATTTTGTTCTTTTGTTAATTATTTAAGAGTTTGTAATTTGTAAAATGTGAGTATATTTTGGCCACAATAATTAAAGTATTCTTTACTTTACTACTGTTTTGTTATTGGGGCTGGGAATTTCCTTTTGGGAAAGAGTATTATATTTATCTCATTTACTTCTTTAGAAACTGTGATCTGATTTAGAGCTCATTTCCACTCTATTATAAAATGCAATAGTGATTTTCTCTTTGGATGTTATAGTGCCTTGTCAAATTTCATTTGGCTTGTAATATATTTACAGCATAACAATGCATGATGTATCTGTTTGAAAACCAATTTAGATATCTCAAAATACCTAATAGGTTCTATGTATTTCTGTGGTAAGAATAGTAAAGAGTGACTGTTTACAAGCGAAACAAGACTTTCTGCCGCATCCATAAATGGACGTTATTCTTTATTAAAAGCAAAGGAATATCATAGTCATTTGTACTTCTAATGATAATATGGATCTCGCAGTCTTATAGCATAATTTCGAAATCTTGACCGAAAATCAACATGTAAAACCTATAAGATTGAGAATAGTGAGAGAGAACGACAATTATTAGTACAAGTATATTGACACAAACTTAAACATAGTTTATTGTTGACCGACATTTTTCATGACTTGAGTCAACACCTTAAATCTCATTGATAACATTTACATGACAATGTGTTTCTAACATCCCCAAATTATACTTTTATCACCGTGCATGTCTGTAGCACACACACTGTTACGAGTTAAGTAGATATTTGTATTTACAATTTGTAGTAGTAAATCTAATAATTTTCAATCACAAACTGTTGCTGTGGTATAAGGAAACACCGCCGAACCGGAAAGTAACACGAAATCGATAACTCATGCTGCCATCTGCCATGCGTGGACGGTATTGTTCGTCATTTTGCTCCAAAAGGGCACAGGATTAAAACAATCCTTTTTCATTTTAACATGCCGGTAGAAATATTATTAAAAAAACTGATACAGGTCACATTTTGTTTCCTAGAGTTGGACGAAGTGCGATCTTCGGATGTCTTATACTTATACAGTTGGCCATATAAGCACGACTTTGACTAAATTTGAATATATGAAATAAATCCTGCCACTTAGATTAACAGTTTGTGTAAATACTGTAAACTATGATAAATATTTGATGGTCACATTAACTTTTATTATAATGTTAACACCCATCGACTTTAGGGGAATTATTTGGAATTATTTTACAAAGTTAATTTCAGACCACATTTAATTTTTATCTTGACAATCGCATTATTTTACTGTTATTATTCATTAAACTAAAAGGATTATTTCAACAAAGCTATCAATTCTCAAAAAGAGTCATACATTTATTTGTTCTTGACAACACATACATTCACAAATCGCAATTTTAATTGATTATCCTTTGTGGTACTTTTCAAGATATTTCTATTTTTGTTTCAGCTGAGAAGGTAACCTCTATTGGAAAAGATTGGCATAGACCATGTTTAAGATGTGAAAAATGTAGCAAAACTTTAACACCGGGATCACATTCAGAGGTAAGTAGGTTATAGTGTTTTAAAAATGTTTAGTGTGAAAGAGCATTTCAAGGAAATTAAATCTGTGAGAAAGCTCTCCTCTCTCAGAATTGGCCAATTACAATTGTTACGCCATGCTGCAGATTCAAAGCATTTTAGAATAATTTCTGTCAATTCTTTGCTATTCTCTTGCTATTAATTATCAAAAAATCAAAGCCCGCTTCAATAGATAAATATAATTATATCTGCTGAAGAGAATCAGGAACAGATGAATGTTAACTATGATACTGTATGTTATTATTTCAGAGAGAAGGTAAACCATATTGTAATAAGCCTTGTTATGCTGTCTTATTTGGACCTGGAGGTAAGACAAGATAACATTGAAATATAACAATGCGGAATTGTGACATTAGAACATAATATACTATGTAATAGAAAACTATTCTGAACATATCATGTTGCTGTTGACATATTCAGATTTTACAATCCGCTTTCTGCATTTGACACCGATGATTAAAAAAAGAAAAAAATACATGAGTCGTTTTGACCGTCTATTACGTTCAAACTTTGACTGTAATCTGATGTAAAAGAAGGTATTACTAACATGCTTTATTTTTTTCTATTTTTTCAGGCTATGGCCATGGTGGAACTGAAAGTCATACCATGAAATAGAATATTATTATTAAATGACGTTTATAATATTTGTTACTCATATTATTGCTTTATTAGATTTTGTTTAATATTTTAAATTCTTTATGTCTTTTTTTCACTTAGAAATGTCTTTCTCTAGTTTTTATTGTATGAACAAAATAATGTAACTATTCGGTGGTTATCATAAGAAGAACCTTTGATCTGAATTATAAGGTATGGTTTGGACTCTATTGGCATTCTGTCTGCAGTTTCTTCTGTCGAAATTACCACAAGAAGCTTGGTCAGAGGCCATTATTATATTGGTTGCATTTTGTCTTCTAGCAACATTTGGTCGATAAACCGAACTGCAAGGGACCCATATCATTCCTATTCTGATGTTATCATTGCACGGGTATGAACTTTTATCAAGTTCAGTGTATTGTTAAAATAATTTAAATTGTGTTACATGTGTAATTGTTAACTGCTGATAAATTTTTCTTCTAATAATAATGTTTTATTTGACACTAAAAGCTAGATTAATAGGAACTAACTCTTGATTAACCCCAATAGTAGTCAACAAACATTTAAAAGAAGGTGTCTTATCTAAGTTGCTACAAAATACCCTTTTTCGTTTTATACCGTTATTTCATGTGTATATCACACCTTACTTATCTCATCTTATCATGAGTAACTATTAGGTTCCGAGGATGAACCCTATTGAAAACAGACGAATCGAAAAATATTTAGTATGAGTAATTGTCCTCGTTCTTGAAAAAGGCTGAATATTCGATACAGGTGATGGTTATTGTACTGCCAAATATTTGTATTTAAAATCAAAGCTGCCAGTGGGCGTATATTACCTTGCCTGACAAGCTATCGTAGACACGTGTCTCCCATGTGTAAATATCGAACGAATGCGACTTGATTATCTCAAAAGGCCAGTTGAACCAATTCTTACCATTTGGCACAGATGTATTAATAAAGTTATTTCACTTTCTGGGTTTGCAGTGCTTGTGCGCCAACCTTATACGCGCCTCTAACCAACAAAAACACTTTGTGCAATGAAAAATGCAACGGTTCTTACACACAATAGATCATTTTCATTCAAATATTGGTTTATAGAAAATACATTGATAAATTATATCTAAGGTTCTTCAGATAACTTATGAGCATCAAACACGTACAGTGGGTCTGGGATTCGGGTGCTAAAGGACACAATTGCAATAGCATAAATTCAAGGAGTAATGAAATGAAATGAAAATCATACTAAATTCAAGTAGAACAGAATTACTAGATTACATGTCACAAGTAGGGTAAGCATCTCCATCTTGTCTTTTATCACTTTGTGAACTCTGTCCAGTACGGCGATTTAGTTGAATTATATGAACGGTGTGTACCGATGACCTTTTGAGAAACTTGTTCTTGAATTCGCGCTGAAAAGTTCTGTTTAGAAAGGCATAAATAATAGGATTGACACAGCAATTACTGTAACCAACCAACTGTAATATGGCTTTAGGAGTACGAAATGTCTCCCCAGTATCCTGGAACTGCTCAATTAGCTGTACGGTAAAAAATGGTAACCAAAGAACCGTGAAAGCCAAAACTAGCAGCATCAACATCTGGATGATTTTTTTTTTCTGTTGCATGTTCCTGGAATGATTTCTTGGATTTTCTAACATATCACCGATGGGATGTTGAAACCATAATCTCATGCCAATGGCTCCGTACGATAGCATCATCGTGACCACCGGGAGTAGGTACACAAAAACATACACAACAATGGTGATCACTTCCGGTCTATCAAAATGTTCGCGACATAATTGAGCTATTCCTATTGGTGTATGGGTGGAATAGTTAAGTTCTATAACCATATCAACTCTCTCCCCAAACAACTGTGGACATACAATCAGCAGTGATAGGATCCAAAGTGAAGCTATAGCAATACCAGCAACTAATTTGGTATGGACTCGCCGGGAAAGCACCGTCCGACAAATTACCAAATACCTAAAATTATAAATTATCAAGATCACTCTTTACCCCTAAAATGCCATATACTTTCACAATTTTAATATGACACCAGTTTGATAAATAAGAAACTTTCACTAAGTTTCCTAAAAAAAATTAGTTGAAAACCAAGTAATATTTAGCATTATTATTTTTGGAGATTTCGAGAGTTTTCAAATTTCAAGGTCTTTTCAACCTGCCAGAGATGTCATTTAATCTCCACTTTGTTATCATATACCTGCATGTATACCATGTTTTATTATGAGATCTCTTGGCTTTTCACTATTCAGGATCTCGACAGTTCACACTGAGAGTCGAAATTTGAAACTGGCAATCTTTGTTTTCTACCATTTTCCTACAAACCAAGTTTTATGAAAATTGGTTGAAAGGTAAAGGAGGTATATTGTTTCAATATGCAAGATTAGTGCAGGGGCCAATACTTCTTACAAAATAAAATTTTATTGCTAATAATGCTCACAGATTGTAATAAAATTATGTTTATTCCGATGTAGGTCGCGGTTTGATCACGCAAGATTCGTTGTAATAATACGTCTATAGAATCACATTTTACATAAGAATCAGGCAAACAATATAGCTTTGAACACGACAAGTCAAAGTCAATTACTGTTTATCCAAATGTTACTCAAAATCCGTTCACTATATAGCATGTATTAGTATCAATGTCCCTGACAATTTTGACATATTTGAGGGAAGTCATGGGCAAATACTCACCCACAGTTTGTCGAAAACGGTCACGATTGTAACAACCATTATAGCTCAGCAGTGAAATGATCATTCTGCTTCTTTTTATGAATATCAACAAATTAACAAACCTTATCAACGCAGCTGATTTATGATGTCGGGATAAGCAGCTATATTGTCTCTACTGCTGCATTGTATACAAAACAAATTGACTGTCAGGAATTGAATGACAGACGTCAATATTAAATTGGATATATAAAACCTACCTATCAATAGCTATAGTTGTCAATGTCAGGATACTGGCAGTCACTGTTACACCTTGTATATAGTTCGAAAACTTACAGAGAAATTCTCCCATAGTCCATTTGTTGGTGATATAAAAATTCAGTTGAAATGGCATGTTAAGGATGGAGATTAGCAGATCCGCTACGGCTAACGATAATATATACATATCGGTCACTGTTAGTTTCGATCTTGCAAGTCCAATAACAAATATCACTATTGCGTTACCTAGAAAAGCTAAGGTGATAATCGCAATGAAACAAACCATAAACGCTAAACGAATATCTGAAGACAATGATCGAGGAAGTACGTCAGTATCAGATAACTGAAAAGGTATTTTTTCAAATGTTTTATTAACTAATGTCTGGTTTTCAGTTCCAAAAGGATCCATCTTCTGAACCATCAAAAATTCAAGGATATTACCTGCTCTTCATTGTAATATATATTCAATTGGAATCATAATACGTATATCTTTTTAAAAACGATCGTTTGAAAATATTTCCAAACTAATGTAACAAATCATGCACTAGTATTCCGTTTTAGTAGATCCGAACATAACAGGCAAGGAAAGAAAGCTGAAAGAAAGCTAGAAAATATCTTGTTATAATATCAGGACCAGATGGTTTGTGTTGATTTCCAGATAAAAAAGGAACATTCATATAGATACACTGAAGAGACAAGGATAGGTTTATTTATTAAAGGATTAGTTTCTATATAATTTGATAGTAACAGTGGACAGAACCTTATCACACACATTTGTCACCATAATAACTTTTCCACCGAATAGAATAATATCACTTCCGATATCTCCGATCGAAAGATAATGTGTCTTAATATCAGCTCTGACGTAAACATATGAAATGACTAGATTTCCGAACAAGAGATCATCTATTACTGTCGACAATTGTTTCTGATAACAAATTGCCACCAGCATTCAATGAAGCCTATTTCGACATTGTTTGCTTAATACGAAAGTCGGGTTGGGACATTCGACTTCCCACTTCCACTTTTTTTTCACTTCCGACAAAGTCTTTTTGCTTCCGAGTTCCGACTTCAAGTTATTTTTGCTTCCGAATTCTGACTTTCAATTCTCTCTTCAATGGGAAGCAAATCGTGCTACAGTCAGTGACAATAAAACAATAAGTTAATATGATGATTGTTAATCGTTAATTGAGAATATTTGTGTATTATTCATGCACTTTACAAATGTATAAGGCCTACATAAAATCTTTTTGTCAAAACGAATATTGGAAATATCATGAATATTTGGAATATGATCATGTAAGAAAGAAAGAGAATGCCCCTTTCTCAACACAAAAGCAATAATTAGTCCAAAAATTCGATAAATGAATTTGTCCGACACATGCAAATAATCCATTCATTCCATGCTCTGTACTGTTGTCAGACGGACAAATTTTGTAAATATTGGGCTTAAATCTTGCATTACATTTAATTTAGTTGTGTATTCTTTCATTATTACATTTGACAACGAATAATGCATATTTCTCTAACAATTGTATTGTTTGAAGGGAAGGGAATGTGATATACTTATGTTGTCAGCATGGTATACTTATAACTTTGCAACTTGTAATTTAGTTGGCATGAATAAGCAGAACATAATTATCACTATTTTTCTTGTTTATTAGGTAGCCCTCTCAGCGTGCCTGTCTTTACTTCTCATGTCGGTATAGCATGCCTAAAGTTATGATCACTTTTGTAGTTACTGTACTTATTGCCTGTTTCAGAGCGGCCATCTTGTTTTATATTTCAAAGTCACTTTTGTATTCATTAATTAGGTGCTAAATTTAATTGGGTTAGTAAAATCATTTGTTTTGCAGTATCAAAATATGTATTTGTATATAACAGATCATATCTAGTTAATTTCTTAATTGAGGCATGGGTTCTTGATTTTAGAATATTAGTTCAAAGTGTCAAACTTTCCACATTTCCTGACCAGTCAATAAGTTTTCCAGCATTGATTTAAATATAGGTTGTATCTCATTATTGAGCCAAGCTTGAATATCAATCAGATGACTCATTCTCTGTAAATTAGAAGATTAAGATTTAGTAGCAAGTGTGTATGGATTTTAATGATTGTTAGTGACGACCACAAATCGTCCCGAACCCTTAATTGAAACATTAATGTCAAATGCTTATCTATAAAAACATTGAAAATTATTTTGTTTTATTTCTTTAAACTCTGGTGCGTGCAACACTTATCTAGTAAAATAAATTCCGACGACTGTACTCCTTAATCTTTTATTTCTATGCTACATGACATTGATATTTATATATATATTTTTGGTACTGCTCCCTCCCGAATTATTTTTATTTTTTTACTGTGTTATAGTCACAGTCATGTTACAAATAAATCATTGCATCTTATTCAAAAGTGTCAGTTATCCAGGCCACGTATTCTTGAAACAATCTTAACGCTAGGATGTCCTAGGTTCCTATCTTCTAACATTGATTCTAGGACATCCTAGAACTAAGATCGTTTCGAGAATACGTGGCCTGGTGCCCTGGTTCCTTACTTTGTGAATTCCCTGTGTGCTATTATTGCTCAAAACAATGCTATACGTTGGTAGGCCTACCCCTGTTCTTCTCTAACCTGAAGATCCATGGTTCTATCCCGACACAGATAGTGCCTTCAAATTTTCAACTCTGTTTCCCCTTGTCAGGTTGCAAAGGTCTTCAAGTCGTACAGATACAGGAAAATATACTCGAGACTTTGTGTGCCATAAACTGTGCACTGCAACAAGTTAAAGATACCCCCAAGGGTTAAAAATAAAAAGATAAGGTTACAGACTGCACGACACAGCACCATGAGCCAAATCAGGTGAAGGAAAGCATATATCAATTTATTTGACCATGTCTTTAACTTTCGTCCACCGGAAATGAAACGAAATTGATTATTTTTGGGTAAAATGTTCGATTTCTGTCTGTCGAAAAGTGACATTAGCTGACTTATTGAGCCAAATTAAATAAAATTAATATTTTGATGAAATAATCCGAAGAGGATTAACTACAAGGTTCAATCCAATCAATAATTTCAATATAACGTGATTATTTTTTTAGGTTAATGTCCGATTTTAGTCAAAAAGTCGAAAATTGGGATTGTAACGTGTCAATATTGTTCAGTGTTACACAATTATCATCAGTGTCATTGATAGAATACTCATGCATTGCATTGGTACAGCTCTGTCCACAACATCCACCACATGTAGTTGAACAATTTAATCCATGCGATCTACAGGAACACCGTCTGTCTTAGAGCTACATCGTATTATAGTCAAAAGTTGATAATATAGAGATTTGAAATAGCACAAAATCAATAGACAAAATAAAACGCTGCAAAGCATAGATAAAGAAATATCACAGAAAAAACACAATAAAGTGGTGGTAATAAACAATGATAAAAAGCAATATTACAGTCAATACAACACAATGTGACATTTAAAAAAATGGAAGTTGGGACCCGGAAGCAACAAAAAATTGGAAGTCGGGAGTAAAAAAAGAACTTGGAAGTCGGAATGTCCCAACCCCAAACCAGTTCTATTTATATATATTAAATATTATGCGAATTGAATTTAAATTACATATTCGTTTCAAAATGTAAATTGAAATATTTGTTTATCAATCGATTGTAGATAGTCATTTTCCATAAAGCGTATTATACTTGAAAGTTTATCAATCAATTAAAAACGCTTTCGTTCTCAGTGAGTTTGCAAAATCACAGTTCCATTTTCAATCTGGTTGTTACTAACTTTACGTAACCTTTTAAAGTTGGTTATGCTTTTCGGAAGCTGTAAGAAAACTTCTGTTCGGATATGAGTAAAATAAACGCCAAATTGTGGTGAAATATTTCTTCTACGTTTTCTAAAGATTTCAACTAAATATAACGAGCCATTGTAAAGCCAATCACTGAAACTGCTTAATTAACAATTAGTACTCTCAGTTTTTAATTAACCCTTTTAAAAAGATAGCTTGCAAAGTAATATACACCAACTGGCAGCTCTGTTTTGAAATATAAATACAGTACATGGCAGTACAGTAATAATTACCAGTATGAAATATTCAAACTTCATTTGAACTTTGTGAGGCAATACTTAGATTTTTACTGATTTTAAATAGGGTTCATTCTTGGTTGATTACAAACAACCATACCAAGTTTCGTCGCAAACAGTCAAGAATTTACGACGTTTTTGATAAGGAAAATGTTTTACAAGAAAAGTGTAATGCCCCTTTAACTTGTTTAACTTGGGTGAGGCAGAGATTTATGGGATCAACTCCTTTAAATGCAGGCAGTAAAATCCTTGTTATCAGTTCAAATGTATTACAGCATACTTGATAATTGTTTACTGGAAAGTCATTAATTATTTCCCATACTTTTTTTGTCAATTTATTTTGTTCATTGATTTGATATGGCACCTTTATTGGCTGCTGTGTATACAATAATATCAAGGTTGTACAATTTTTTTCGACCAGCTAGCTGGGTAAGGTATATACCAGCGGCGGACCTATTTCTCTGTGTGCAATATTCACAGAAACAACGAGGTTATGGTTTTAATAGATTTGTAAAGATTCTATACGCACTTGCTATGAAAGAATAATTTAGGTTTAATGATATGAATATTATGCTTGTGTCGGGCCAACTCCGACGAAAATCTACATTTTATCTCTGGTCCTGTCAATCTCTTCATGGATCCGTATGTGACCTGGGCAGTAAATATATCTTAAGCATGATTAATCCTGCTTGTTATAATTAATATAAAACAAAGAATTTTGTATTCCAAATGTAGAATTTAATTTTGCGTCTTTGACTTTTTTAATATTTTCATTTCTACTCATTAGCAAGAGAGGTCTAAATACAATAGAAAGATTATTTCTACCACGCCATATTGAATAGCCGAAACTTCAGATTAACTATGAAATGATATGAAAACATTCTAATTAGTTTCCGTATGAAGTTTCTGGGATTGCCTTATTGTCACATTGTTACCATTTTTTGTTTTCTTCCCACAACATAGGATTAATCGAAATGTCTGATTTAAAACTTGGCATTGTCAATCAGTTTTATTTTAGGAAGACACCTAGAGGTGGTCCGGAAAGTTTATAGGCCTATACTGATTTAAGTAAAATAAACGCCTTATAATTTTAGAGAAATCCTACGTTTTCTAAAGATTTCAACTAAATATATCGAGCCATTATAAAGCCAATCGCCAAAACTAGATCATACCGTTTAATTAACAATTAGTACTTCCAGTTTTTAATGAACCCTTTTAAAGCAAATTCAGTTTGATCAAATATAAGATGCAAGAATATAATTAACATACTTAACAAAAAAGCGGAATGCCCCTTTGCTGATGCTGATACCTATGACGAAAAGGT